TGGTCACTAGCTATAAAAAGAGACACATACAGGCTTATGCTAATGAGAACAAAATAATCATAGACCTTAAGACCAGTTTCTGGTGCTGCTGTGATAGAGGAAGCTGTTTTCATATTAATAGTGTATCTGTGCAGTGATGGAAAAGCACTGGAAGAGCACTTCTGATTCTCTCTTGTTGGGATAAGTCACTTGATAAATGTTGTCCCTTCCTTGGAAGTACTTTTATTTATCTGCTGAATTTTCAAACTTGTGTGTTTGCTTCATCTTTGTCCGACTTGTGCTGCTGCACTAAATAGTGGGTAGCTCTATTGAACCAGAACACAGCAATTCACTAAACATTCCTAGAGGGGAAAACAGCCATTTGGGAGTGAAGCAGCACTTCCAATGTGTCCTCGTTGTGTATTTAACAGGACAGAGTTGGTAACAGGATGTCATGCACGACTATAGCAGCGGATATGCAGAGCCTGCTGTAATTAGCCCTCACTTCAACAAGCCACTGAGGCTTTGGGGTGGGGGTAGGGATGCAGAGAGGAAGAAAACACTTTTGCGGTATCGAGCAAGCTTTCCACGGAGGGATGAATCTTTCACCTGTCACACTACCGTATGCAGACAACTGTAATTATGCTTAGGCACCCAGCATCATCCTTTACAGAGTTATATTCATTTTTATTGGTGGCAATTAATCTCTAGTCATATTTTCAAAGGAGAAAAAGTGAGTAAGTTAGCACATTTGCCAGGGAATGTTAGCACGTGACCTGAAATATGGCAGCTCCCTTTAATGTAGCATCTCCCAAGAGAGCGCTAGCTATTTCAGACTCGTCTCTCATGGTATTGACATCCACACATGCAGTCTAAAAGGAGCATTTGTACTTCCCTGACATCACCACTCTCAGGTTGCTTTTCTTATTGATGGTACAGTTAAAGTCTCTGTATCATTTTGACATTTTTAATGGCATATGCATTTACAGTGTAGCTCTTGTGTAAGCTTTAATCAGCTTTCTGTTCACATGTTGTTGCTCTTATTATTTATCTCTATTATGGTAACACATAGAGCCTATCAACAAGAGCAGGATTAGACTGTGCTAGGCTTGGGTTGTATTTTAAAATGGCCTCTCTCTGCCCATAGGAGAAGTGGTGCTGACAATCCTGAAGTGCAGCGGGCTTCCGTGGCTCTAAGGCTGCTTTGCCCTGTATCTCAGAAACTGGAATCACTATCACACACCAGCTAGGATTTGCCACACTGATGTAGATAGAAAAAATATGTCTTGATTGCCGAAGTCTTTGGGAACTACTAGATCCCAATCCCATAGCTAGTTACGCACTTGAGTAGTCTCACACACAAGTGGTCCGATTGAGCTCAGTGGAATTAATTGTATGAATAAGTACTTGGATTTAGCTTATCAACTCTGTATCTGCCTACCTTTGTAAAGGTACAGAAGTTATCACAGTGCAGATCTATGAGTTATCGCAATATAAGTATCAGATAATGTCCCAATGAAATCACATAGGTAAAGAATTTACTTGCATAAACAACTCCACAGTCTGTCACTGCAATATGGGAATTAAAGGAAAAGGGAAAAGAAAGCCAACAGGAACTGAAAAACTTTGAGCAACAAAGATCTTATTTTCATGTGTGATTACTGCAGTGTAAAATCAGGTAAGGATGATATTTCATTATCACAAGTTTTACACTAACACCCAACGAATTTCACTCAATTCCCTTTGCAATTAATCAGCAGTGGATGAATTGATACTGCATCAAACGGCTCTGCTCATTGTGACATATATAGGGCTTGAAGTGATAGCTAAAAGCAGAAAATCTTTACCATCTGAGGTAAAGACTTAAATCTAGAAGAGGCCAACTTGTCATGGTGTATATATGATCTTGTCACTAGAGAGACAACAGGATGTTCACCTTGGTTATACACACATACTATGACTCCAGTTTCAAACCATTTAGAGGACTGTAGTCAAAACTTGCTTGTAGTTTTAGGAACATGAAATGGAGCCCAACAAGTGCAAAGGCTGTATCAGGCATTGTAAATGAGACACAGTACAAGCCCCATCTTTTTGTAATTCTATTTTTTTCTGTGTCTTCCATGAGCATTCAGATGTACTTTAATCCTTATTTTTATGTTCTATCCCGAATAAATCCCCTTGAAATTCACATTCTTAGTAGCTATCTGGTATACCAAGCTGTTTTATTTCATAGATAATTAAAACATTTTGGCTAGCTACTTTGGGCTAAACATATTGAATGTTGCAATGTGTGCTCACTGATGCCTTGTACTTAGAAGCCTTTGGAAAAATCTGTCTAACTGTCAGATGGTTTTCTGGTCACTGCAGGCTTCTTTTATTATCCAGATTTGTTTTTTTATGATTTTATAACCAATTAGAGGAATTTCTGCTCTTTACTTCAGCATTTTGCTCTTCCCTTTGGCTAGATTGTGAAGTGAAATTTGGTCAGGGAGAAAGCAAGCATGTGACCAAATATCAATAGTAAATAAGTGTTCAAATAAGATTGACATGTAAATAAAAGGAGTTGTGTTTGGGGCAGACACCATAAATGTGAAACAAGATGCTTGAGCTGATGATGGGAAATGGTTTTCCCTTCCTATAAAAGGTTTGCTTTCTCCTTCACTTTCTTTCAAAGTGAAAAACACAAACTGAGCAGACAAATCTGATGATTGGAGCACTCACCTGAGACATGGAAGACCAAGGATATAAGTCACATCTTCTAATGAGTGTTATTTATTCATATTAAGCAAATTAATTGCAGCTGGAATTATATCAGCCCAGAGCAACCCACAGTCTGGCAGTCAGGGCTTTAACGTGAGGTGTGGTAAGGCACGAATCAAGTCCCTGAAGCAGGCAGGGTTAGGTTTGATTCCTGCATTCCACTTCCCCATGCAAAGGGCTATTGGCTATGCTTGTGTGGTTCAGATTTGTACCCTTTGTGGAGGCGCAGAACTGCATCCCTTGGTGTTCAAGTTCTGCGGAAAACAAATCAGTGTTTCTGGAATGGAAATTGCTGGGAAACTCCATCAGCTCCAGCAGATTTGCTCCCTGCCCCAGAAGGCTTACAGAGTCTTAGCGAATGTCTATGTGAAATAAAGATAGATCATGTATTTCCACAGATTCTCAGTAATAATTTAAGACTTATAAAGAGTAAGATTTTGTTTGCTCGGCTCCCAGCGGTGTTAGTGAGGAACTATCATCCCTGTTTAGAGCTGTGGGAAAAATGATGGAAAGCAATAAAATATCTTGTGTGAGGCACAAGCAGGATTATGCACAGGGGTATGTTGCACACTCTGCTTTCTGCAGGACACGAAACCATATCTCTCTGCACGTGCATCCTCTAAGACCCTGCAGACCCTCCTGGAGACCCTGGAATTGTCTTCTCTTGGGTTTATTTTGGCCTTTAACACTGTTGCTCAAGAAACACAAGTTTGTAAATTGGTAATCAGCAATGCTAGTTGAGTAAAGGCTGTTTCTCTTTTTCTGCTGAGTATCCTCAGACTGACCAATGAGAAGGACAAAAAGACTGCCAAAATTAACTGATAGATCTAGTCGTCCAGTGTGGGTTTATAGCCGTGTACCGTAGAAGGAGAGGGCTATGAAATTTCTAGGACAAGAGCTTCAGGCTTAAGTGGGCTTTACATTTACCTTGCTAAGTCTGGAAACAGAGATTCAGGCCTGAGAAATAGCAAGTGTCACCTGGGGATTAGTTTACGTGTTTGCAAATAAGAGTTTGTGAAGACAGCTTTGTTGCTGGGATTACACACTTGTTTCCTGCATGGCAGTGGATTTTTACAGTGGCAGAAGAGTTGTTGTTGGTATAATTGAAACCTTCTCTCTGAGCACAACCAACTGTACCTGGAAAATGATCTGTAACTGTGTCTTTACGAGGGATTTTGCCAGCAACTCTATTCTGAATAGAATGGTGATTTTCTTCACCCTTGACATAGCTATATTGAAAGGCTGCTAAGCGGAGGGTAGGACTACTGAAGAAATCCTTGGTTTTCTGCTGACCATTTACTGAGGAAACCTTAACCTCTGGGTGTTTGCTTTGAGCTGTCTGTTTAGTATGCATACATCTTAAATGGGTGTTTTGCAGGTGCTGATTGCTGTTTCTATAGCAAATCAGGATCAAGCTGTTTCTGTAGTGCTGACTTCCCTCTCTCATCCTGCAGATGGTCCACAAACAAGGAGAAGGGATCAGGCAGGATTGTCATGTCAAGGGTTCTCACTGTGCTTTAATGCATTCTGTAGGGAACCTCCCCGCCATGTCAATGGCCGTAGGGTTTGGGGCCCTTCTGTAATGCTAGTACGTACTGTTAATAGCACAGAAATTACCTGACATACACACTCCATACTTTCATCCCTAAGCCTGGTTTGAGCAGCCTCATGAATTCCCATCTCCAAGGTTATTTTCTTCCCATCTACCATCTTCTTCCCATTTCTACCATCTCTTTACTCCAGGAAAAAAAACAACAAAAAAAACACCAACAAAAAAAAAGCAACACCAAAGGAGAAAGCCTTCTTTAGATTATCGTATTTATTATCTTCTGGGAACAGTGCAAAGAAACAATATTTGATAACATTATTAAATCTACAGGATTTGCTTGGCAATACTACCTGCCATTAACTACACTGCAGTCAGGATGTGATCCTCTGCATCTAATTCCACTATAAATTCATTCCTTCCAGCTATCTAAGAGCACTAAGAAACAGGATATTAAAAGATTTAGGTCCTGATCCAGTAAGGGTGTTAAACAAGTCCTCAAATTTAGGTTTATAACTAGTGCTGTTGTCTCCTTGCATGCTAAAGTACATTGCTGGATCAGGGGGGTATTTTTAGAAAGTTTAAGGGCCTTTTAGAAAGTTCCTGGTATTAACAGTGCCTTTGCCTACTTGCCAAGCTAAGAATAAGAGGCTGAGATTATATGCTTGCGATGCACTTTCCTAATCATCTTTGTAAATGACTGTATGTTTTCCAGGTTGCGATAGTGAGCACTGGGGACCCCACTGCAGCAACCGCTGCCAGTGTCAGAATGAGGCTCTCTGCAACCCCATCACGGGTGCCTGCGTCTGCGCAGATGGGTACCGAGGATGGCGCTGTGAAGAGCTCTGTGACCCTGGGAGCTACGGCAAGGGCTGCCAGTTTAAATGCCAATGTCACAATGGAGCTACCTGCGACCACAAAACGGGAGAATGTCACTGTGCTCCTGGATACACGGGGGTATTGTAAGTTCAATGATAGGTGTATTTTACTCCACATCATTTAACAGCCTTGCTTTGACCGCTTTTAATGCAATGAGTAATTGGCAAAATTTACACAATCTCTGTATTATACACTTTCCTTTGTAGAAATCAGGTAACAAAATTTCAGAGAGACTAAATAAAGGAAATCTCTTTTACTGCTAATTACACCTGTCTGCATAAAAAAGTAGAATTTAGTGCTAAAGTGAACTTAAAAATCCATTATATTTTCCAGCTTGTACAACAACTGTACCTGTTCCTAATTTCAGTATGTGAATACAATCCAAATTACAGTTGAGTTTTTATAAGCAATTGGACATTCAACTAATTAGCAGCCCAGTGCAGTATCAAATGGGACTTACCATCCTCAATTTATTTGACTTTTAATCTAACTGAGGAAGCATTATTGTTAACTATATCAGCTTACTATCTAGGGGGTAAATTTTTAGCATAGTAAGCAGGGATTTAGCGGTGTGACTCCTATTAACTCTAACAAGAATCATGTAGCTAAATCCCCATCCACCACACTGAAAGTTTACCAGTAGGATTCACAAAATCTGCATATTAATTTTAGGACAGCAAGCAATAGTTCCTTGTTTAAAATTGCCCACAGTGTAACATCAGTTCTCATTAGAGATCTTTCAGTAGTTTCAGAGTTGAGTTTTTATAAGCAATTGGACATTCAACTAATTAGCAGCCAGTGCAGTATCAAATGGGACTTACCATCCTCCATTTATTTGACTTTTAATCTAACTGAGGAAGCATTATTGTTAACTATATCAGCTTACTATCTAGGGGGTAAATTTTTAGCATAGTAAGCAGGGATTTAGCGGTGTGACTCCTATTAACTCTAACAAGAATCATGTAGCTAAATCCCCATCCACCACACTGAAAGTTTACCAGTAGGATTCACAAAATCTGCATATTAATTTTAGGACAGCAAGCAATAGTTCCTTGTTTAAAATTGCCCACAGTGTAACATCAGTTCTCATTAGAGATCTTTCAGTAGTTTCAGAAGTAATTATGTTTTTCAAAATTATTTAAGGGGAAAAGAGAATTTAGTCACTGAATTTGGTTGGAAATCTATTACAGGTGACTTAATACTTTTGCAATCTAATATTATTTGTTGACCTGGATAAGGGGAAGGTAAAAAATAAAGACAATATTAACCCTCATAAGTAAGTGATATGCATCTGAATATTTTATTTAGTACTTGATTTCCTCATAGACTTGTGACCTCAGTCCTGGAAGCACTCACTGTAAAAGACTGCTTACTATTAGGAGTGGTCACATTGACATTAGTATGTCATTTCTCAGCAGTAAGTACTTGCAGGGCCAACCACCAATATGTTGTATGAACACCCTCATCAGAGGATATTCAGTTAGGGGAAGAACCTACTGTAGTTTCTGCAGAATCTGGGATTAGAGAAAGAAGCAATGCTGAAAAGCACCAATGTGCAAATGTAGGAGACACTGTTTTTTGGAGGGACTAGCCTTACACTGGCCCCCCATGAGCACTAAGAGAGTGACACAACGAGTTTAAATGGCCTTTAAATGATGCTGAGTTCTTGCCAGTCCATTATACATTGCAAATGTTAACATTTAGTAGTGACTGGAGAAATTTCAAGCATTTTAATCCCATCCTTTTATTCTATTTGCAGCTTCTTTTATTGCCATGTCACATAATTCACGTTGAGGGCTTCAACCTTCAACTCTTACTTTCCTGGGCTATTTTAATGGATATGAGTTGTCCTGTTGAGATGGGTGGAATTTGGTATGTGCATAAAGATTACACACATGCATCAGCCTTACAGGACTGGATCCATGGCACATAAATAACTCCAGCAGAAATAAAAGAAGTCTTGGCTAATTGGTAATGCCAGCTGAGGCTTACTGAGGTTTCATAATTTACATAAGGACTCCCATGATGACCTGTGTTGTGGATTTTCCTCATTTACTGTTTCCTGTAAGTCCTTTTAAATGATCTCTTTGGTTTTGTTTCTTCCACAAAGGTGTGAAGAGCGCTGTCCCCCAGGCAGTCATGGAGCTCAATGTGAATTGCGTTGCCCTTGCCAGAATGGGGGAGTCTGCCACCACATCACTGGAGAGTGTTCCTGTCCTCCTGGATGGATGGTGTGTAGTTTGTTCATACTCATCCCTCATTTAGAGTTTGGAATAGGAAGTTAATTGTTCACTGTCTCAGCAGACGTCTTCCCTGTGCGCTTGTGATGCATATCTGCTCTTTCTTGTCAAGAGGCTCTAACAAATCTGAAACCGGGACCACGTTGTTATGTGTGAACAGCACTTACACAGACAGGGACCAGTCTACGACTGGTAGCTACCATCATAGAGTTAAACAAACAACAGTAAACGAAGCAGTGACTATTCATTACATTTCTGTGTGCGAGAAGAGACAAAAAAATTGTCTCTGAATTACAGTTCCTTGGAATATTCCCTGCACCCTTAGACACTGCCCTCACATGGGACAGAAAGCTCAAAGCTCAGCTTAACATTGTCAGAAGCGCTGTTCTGTTTCCCCTTCAGGAGAGAGGGAGAGGGAAAAGCCAGGGGGAATTCAGTGGCTCAGGCAGTTGTTAAAGCAGGACTATACATAGGACACAGAGACAGTTCAGTGTCCTGTCCTTACTCGGGCATAATTCCCATTGATTGCAATAGATTTGCTTGCATCAGGGGTTGCACTGGAGAGAGCAAATTGCCCTAACCTTTAATCCTTTGTGTCAAGAAAGCAGGGCCAAACATTTTGAAAGTCCTCAACTTTATCAATAATGTAATAATTAACTCTCTTGGGGTTTGCCAAGTCTCACAGGCCTACATACCATTTAGCTGTACTAAATTTCCTGGCATTTTTCCTGTATCTGACAATTAGTCTTTTGGCAATCTTGCTGGATTTTAATGCATACAAGTACTGTGACTTTTTATTTTAATACGTGGAAGACCCTGAAGATCATCGTACAACTATGCTTCTGATGTGGACCTTATACCTGTTGAAACATTTAAGGGCTGAGAGAGATGTTTATGTTCCTTTAGATTAGTACAGCAAATGCTGCCTCCATTTGATCACACAGCTACTTTTAGTTAAAAAGTATGAACCATGAGATTCTGGTGGCTATCAGGCAGCAACATGGGAGAAGGACATTGCTGCCCATATTTTTGGTGGAAGCTGTGTACAGAAAATCTCTCTCTAACTGGAGAGTTAGAGTCTCTCTAACTTGGCCAGTCATGGCAAAGGTGGTGATGATGTTATTCCATTTCAAATGACAAAGCAGGCAAAACTTTTCAGAAACTTAAGTAAGAATATGGCACCTTACCCTCAACTGTCATTCTGTGGAGACAAAGAAAAGGTTCTTTCCTGAAGAGTACTGGAGCTAAAGCATAAAGGAAGCAATTCAAATATTTTTGAGGGCCTATCAGTCCATTCTGGGACTACCCCTAAGAAGCGATCGATAACATGATTAACACAAAAATATTACCTTTAGGATATTTTTTTCACCTCCCCTTATCTTCTGCATACCAATATTTCTGAGGATCTGAGTTGTTTTGCTGTACTCTTCCTTACCTGTGTTTTATCAGGAGTTTTCTCTTTTTTTGCAAAGTTAAAAAATCACTAAAGAGATATAAGAGTATCAGAATAGAGCAGGAAGTTTTTTGAGATCTTTTAGGATGCAGCATAGACCCTAAAGAAGAACCACAGTACTGGGGCTGCACAGCACCTGTGGTCATGTATTCTGGCCCACTTCTGCCCTGTTCCTTACAGCTTGGAGTTTCTTCTCTGCATTTTTAGTGGCCCAGAGAGACTTTCCTGAAAAATGTGTTGTTGGCTGCTCTGTCCCCAGAGAAACCCTAGAGTTAACAACTGATGTTTGAAACAAGCATAACTGAAAATTGAAGAGAGAGATTAAGTATTCTGGGGAAAGAAACTGAAATTATAAGTAAAAGCACTCAGCTTGTAAATGTTGAGATTTTAAGTATAAAGGGTCTCTCCAGGGTTTTAATGAAAAGCTGGTAATTCAGTACACAGAGAAAGAAAAAAATATTTTTTCATGCTATATTTTTAACTCTTAGTGGTTGGAATGGTTTGGGAAGTGAGACATGAGTGGGCTGTAAACGAGCAAGTGAGATAGGATTGCTAGACAGCATTCATTTTATTTCACACCATGGATAGTCTTTCTTTGACATCAGGAATTTTACTTGCTGATTTTGAGGCTTGAGACTGCATGTATGTATTGAACATACCATCATGTTGGAAGGAGAGAATTCTCCCTGGATTTATACAAGTGCAAATCCACTTGGATTTTATTGCTGCTGGATGAGCTGAGACTTTTATCCTCTCCTAGGGTAGGTTTATTGACAGCAGCTCAGCTCCCTTAGGGGCTTGGTTGCCTGTGGGATATGCAACGGGAAGCAATAAGTTGAATAGGAGGAAATTCTAGGGTTCTTAGGTTCTTCCTTGGATCTTCCATCTTCAAAGCCTGGTTCATTTATTACTTGTAGTATTTCTTTCCTCCTGCTTCCTCCCACCCAGTGCAGACTCTCCCAGAAGCACAACAACTTACACAGACTGTGTCCTGTGAGATTTTACTGTCCCATGGGTTTTTCACCAAGAGGATGATGGCTAACAACATATATTGTTGAACTAGTCAACAAAATGTGGCTTCCAGCATACTACGCTGTTGGGCTTTTTCCACTTCTGTGTCTTTGCAGCTGTGGGAGTTAGTGGGTGGCTGCTTTAGGGCCTCATTAACAATTTACAGGTTTAATTCTATACTTCTTTTTCATTTGCAGTATTAAATTCTCCAAGCACTCTCAGGAAGTGGGGAGAGAAGTTAAATTTAGCATTTACAATGCTTTTCAGAAACACTTGAAGGACTAGATCTCCATGCCCAGGAAAGCAGCAATCTTTCCTTACATGACAGAACATTTGTCACTGGCAACACACCCTGTTTGGTCCCAGATCCCATTCTCAAGGCTCTGCATCATGGTGCCATGTTAATACAACATATTCTGCTAATCACTTCTTTCTCGTTGCCTCTGGGCTTTATGAAGCAACTACAATTTGTATTTTTGTCTATTTTTCTTTCTCTTGTGGTTTTTAAACATGGGGGTATGTGAGAAAATGGAACAGAAAAAAAATCTTTTCTATACTACAAAATGGTAATAATATAGCAAACAATGTCAAAAGCAGAAACTGATGAGATCAGGGCCTTAAAAAAAGGGGCTGATGGGGTGAACTTTACTGATTAGATGTATAAGCAGCAGAAAATATTGGTCTGACATTTGATCCTCTGTGGAGGCATGTTTTGGATTCCCTTAGTACATATTAATGCAAAAAGTATGCTTAAAGATTCTTTTGGCTCTGGGGGGGATGCATCACAGAGTATTGCTTTCTCATCATTTGTTGATAGAAATCCTGTTCCTTTTGAGTCATGAAGAGAGAAAGTATTTATTATCAAGATAAATGGATATTTAAATTTTCTGATATATACTGTTGTGTATTACTTAAGCCCAGAGACACCAGTTTTTTAACACTGTAATCTGAATGTTCTTGAACTGAGGCCAACCAGCCTCAGTTGTTGTATTGTACAGCCAAGGAGCCAGCTATCACTGATTAGGAAAGGCTTGAATTACTGTTTTATGATTACATTGAAGAGCAGCCTTTCCACTTTGGGGTTATTGATATTGCTAAACTTCGCAAACTGTTGAGCGAGAACCCTGAGGAGTGAAAGCAGCCATTATGTTCCTGTTTTATGTTTTGTCTAATATGTGCCTTGTTCAAAACTCAGAGCCCCTGGGGCTTGGTTAGGGAAATAAGACTTCTGAGAGATTAAAACGAAACAATAATAGGGACAGAAAAACACCATTTCTATCAAACACTGTGCACTGTGCATGGCACTGGCAGCAGCACCACTTGCTACAGTTGCCAAACATATTCCATTATAGGACCCCATCTTCAGATCACAGCACTGCCAGACTTCTTTTGGCTGAAGTTACTCAGCTGGATGCCAGCCTCAGATTTTATGTTTGCTCACATAAAAAAACATACATACAACTTCTAAGAAAGTCTAGGGAAATCCTTGTAAGGCCTTGATACTTGGCAGGGGACATTATGTGATACTTGGGGGAAAACCACCTGAGTTTGGCAGATAAATTCTCCAAAGACACAACCCATGGTAAGCATTCTCTGCCACAGGGCTGAACAGCTGGAACAAAGCTTGCCCAGCAATTGTTTTTCCTGATGAGCAGTACCAGGATGCACAACCAAGAATGACAGTCTGCCTTTTCTTCACTTTCAGGGATGGTTAAGCGGGGAGGGGAAGGAGGAAACAACTCAGAGATGGGGAGTTGGGTCCGTATGAAGGAGAGGACTAAAAGGGAGTCTGCAACAAGGATTTGGGGTAGACTGGAATATAGAGGCAGGAGAGCAGAGGGCTGGGAGCATAAAAAGGGGAAAGGAGGTAGCTGCTGAGATGTGGAGTTGAGGCGGGTCAGGGACTGAGATATGGCTCCAAGGTTGGGGATAAGGATGGGGATGATGTTGGATGTTGGATGATGCATCTAGCCAGTGTTCAGGGATTAGGCAGATATTCCACTGCAAAATCACTTCTTCTGGCCAAAAGGCTGCTGCACTGCTGATGTGGAGAGTCAAATTGCTTCTGTGTCATCACTGGTGGCTTTCTGCAACTATCCCAGTGTGTTGTTCCCATCCTGCCTCGTCCATGGCTTAGACAAAGCACTGGCAGATGCCATTCTGTGCTGCTTGAAGAGATGAGTGTGGGGGATGGATGAGAGTAGAGGGAATGAAGTAGGTAGGATCTAAAGAGTAGTAGAGGACTTCTCCAGCAGTTGGATTTGGTCATCTTCGTGGTTGGATGAAGTGGGGCTGTCTGAAAACGGGAGATCATCATAGACTATCACAACTAACAGAACTTCATCCTCCCAGTGCAGTCTTTCCAACAATCCCCCTCTTCCCAAAAGTTCACTTTGTGACACTTACCCAGGGTAGGTCCAACAACTTTTCTGACTCTCTATTTCACAAAAAAAACCACCAGCACATATGCAGCTTTGTAGCCTTCTCTGGTTGCCTTTAACCTCTCCCAAGCCTTCCTGCGTCTATTCAAGGGGCAGTGAATATCCTGCCACTCCAGCTGCAGTTTACGGGGGAGATCCAAAGAAGAGAATTATCAATGACTGTGGCAAGAAAAATCCCTTCTGGAGATAGGGTAGACAGGCATTTACTCTGGTAGCAGAATTTTGAGACTGTCTTTAGCTCATCTTAAACAAAAAAAATATTGCCACTACACTTAGATCTAGTTTTAGCAAGAAGGACAATAAAAACCCAAGCTGCATATAGAAATTTATTGCCTTATGAATGTTGATTGAAATATTGCTCTTTCTGCAACCTTACCAGGGGCTGGTGTGTGCACAGCCATGTCCTCCTGGAACATTTGGAATTAACTGCAGCCAGGACTGTCCATGCCACAACGGAGGACACTGTGATCCCATGACAGGAAAATGCATCTGTACAGCTGGCTATATAGGAGACAGGTAAAAATCAAAACCCCAAAGCCTTTAGTTTTAACCATGAATTGACAATATTTATATCCCTTCTAGGACAATCTTACTCTCTGAAAAATGGTGTTATGTTTCTATCGCTCCAATTAGGTTCATCCTTCTGCAGCAGTTCAAGCATTATAAATGTGGCAATGTTATTACTTTTTATTTGCAATGCTCTCCATTTACAGTTTTTTTTAATATAACTTAAAATTTAATGGATTAAATTTAATTTAGATATTTACAGTGATAAATTTAATAGAGAGCATTACATGTTTACAAGATATGTAAATGAACTATATTTATACAAATTAATATCCTCAAGAGTAAGCAATGCAGCAGTTTAATGTTTCCCTCAGCCCCTCTGTGCTGCTGCAGCACTGATCCATCTCAGACACCAACAAAAGGTGATAAATCCTCAAAATTTATAAACGGGAGCCTTCACCCATAAATTGATCAGAGAAGATGATAATATTATTTTACGAAGGTGTCATAGATTTAGTAAAATGACTACACAGCAAAGTCAAGGTAGGATTGTAACACATTGGCTTAGCCCTCCAGCTAATCCTGCCAGCAGGGCTAACAATGGTGGGGAAGCTGCAGTTAAACAAACTTTCATATGCAGTTTTCACTAGGGTTTGGACTGTGTCACAAGGGTTTCCAGAGACCATGGGCACAGCTCACTAGTGTATGCTATGCTAAAGCCCTTTCTCCTATATCTTCCCTTTTTTTATTAGCTAGAACAAGCTAGTATCAGTATACTGACATATGCTAGAATTATACTTTTATGCAGCAAAGCTCATTGGAATTTCTCATTTCTTGCTTCATTGTACAATTTGCAAGTCTTTATAGCACACAAACAGACCAGCCTTCAACACTCTGCTAGGGTTCAGAAGGCTATGTTCTTTCCCATTAAATGTGGAAGTTCCTTGTTTCCATTTTATCAAGAGCTGTAATTGGAGGGGGCTCTGGAGATTATGTCAGGATTTGCATGTGGTTGAGTATGGTGGAAATACTAATTATTTAAAATTAATTTAGTGGAGAAGACATCAGTGTGTCTCTCTTCCCCCATCCTCCATCTGGAGACAGTGATTTCAGCCATAGGGTACCATATAATTACTGTTGTTAACCAAAGCTTTCTCTTCCTCTCCTTTTGGAGACAATTTCACTAAAGGAAGCAACTGTGCACCCTGGACACTTGTACTGGTGACCACACTTCAATTGCAAGCCGTCCCCAGTCTTGGCCATGCTCAGGAAGGCTGACAGAGGCCCTCTGTCTCTAGGGTTCTTCATTTGGTTGTTGCAGACCTAGATTGATTTCTGGCTGTAGGTGAATCAACAGCATTAGATCTGTCGGGAGCTCCCAGCCAGCAGCCTGCAGCTGAGCCAGCTTCTTCGCTCAGCTGCCAATATAGCCCCCAGCCACGAGTGAGGACATGCAGCAGAAGAGCTGGCTCTGCTACAGGCATGTGGCATAGGGAAAGAACAGTAATGGAGCTGCTGAACTGCCTGCAACACTCCAGCAGTAAGAGCAGAGAAAGGACCTTTGGGGACAAGAAAAGGAGATGGCAAGTAGAAAGCAGAAGGCCTAGTTCTGCCTGCTGACAAAAGCGGAGGTTTTTGCCACTGATCCCCCTTAGAGAGGGGCTGGAGAAGGCAACTTGGGGAGAGGCTGAGCAGAGGAGGCACTACAGGGCAGACCTGACAAGAGTTCACAAGAATTGTTCTTGAGCAAATTCACAAGAACTGTTCTTGAGCAAAGCAAATTGTTCTTGAGCAAAAAGAAATTTTACGAGTTTTCAGGTCTGTACTTGGAGAAAAGTGAGAGAGATTTGGACTCCAGAGGGAGATGTGGCTTGGGAAGACAGAAGCAGGGAGGGAGAAAATAAGGCATGATCAGCTGGAAGAGGTGGAAAAGAATCCAAGGGAAGGTCTCACTGTGGACTTGCACCCAAACAAAACCCTTAGGAATGGTTCACCTGCTCCCTGCTGGAGCAGGGAAGTAAGAGTGACACTGAAGGGAGAGGCAGAAGAGCAGAAATGCAGGCCTGTGGAAGGATGAATGAGAACAGGAGAAAGTTAGGTAAACGGGCAGTTCAGAAAGCTTTTCTAGCAGCAGGGAAAAACTGTACTAGCCTAGAAATTCCCACCTTTCAAACAGGTTCTCAGAAGGTTAAAACATGTTTATCTATCAGCCTTTAATCAGCCTTCAATAAGGGAAGTGAAACCTTAGGCCCATTATATTCAATTGGAGTTCTGCCTCTCACTTGGGCTAGGACAGCACATTGCTTGTAATGGTTTGTTCTGAACAGGCACGTGTACCCTTACCTTGCTGATAACTACAGTTGGCTAATAGTAGATTGCCCATTGATTTCAGTGACGGCAGGAGCAGGCACAAGGTCTTTAAAAAGCCTAAATTGCCTTCCTTGGTTATGTGTTCATACAGCATGGACAATGGGACAGATTAGTCAGCACCATTTTAGCTTAAAGTCTATTTTACTTTCTGGATCTCATGCAACTGTTGCAGTGTTACCATATAATTGCAAGTATAGCAGGAGAATGCTTCTGCACAACAAAACAGTGTTTTCTTAGAAATTTTACGAGGCACTGAAAAAATTTTCTTAATAATAACAGATATTGTGAATAACAACAATAAAAATGTAAACACACTTTATCTACTACCATCTTTTTTAATTGTCAGTAAGTACTATATAATACTACAGTTCATCATCTTGTGCAGAAGATAATAACATACAGTTAGTTAAATATTTGTGGAGATGAAATGGTCATAAAGATCTATGTAAGTGTAATTGCCACACTTTGTTTCCTACCTGTTTTCCAGGCAGTGGCACTGCACTAAATATCTAGGAAATTGGCAAGCACTGTTAACTCCAGGAAGCTTTGTGCTCTGCTAAAATGACTGGATATGTCATGTAAATGTATGTTTTGCAAACTGGAAAGGAATAATAGCAGAAGCACAGTTAGAAGCTGAGGATGGGGTGTCTAAGAATTCAGTGGCTGACAGGAAAAGTGAACATACTGTTTTAGCTTTGTTTTCCATATTGCCATTAAACCTAAAGATTGACTCTTAACAGAATAAATACCACATTTGTTATAACAATATGAGCAGACTTATTCTCTTGTTGTTGTGTTTGTACCTGTATCTTTTATCAACAGAATGGCAATCTCCAGGTTAGTGTATTTTGGATGGCTTTTAATATTTGTCTGTGCTACATAAATGTGATCACTGTTTCAAAACAAACAAACAGAAAAGCCTAAAAAACTTTACAGCATTATTCCATGAAACAAAAAAAAATCTGGAAAAAATGTAGGTGTATGTACTAAGTTCATCTGTTAAGCAGGCTGTCTTATGTTTAATATTTTGTGAAATTGCTTCCATTATTTCTACAGGTGACAGCCATATTATCCTATCCCAACCCAAACAATTATATTACATATTAAAGTTCAGTGGATATTATAATACGAATCTCCCCAGATAGGCAGAAAGCAATGTAAATTAAACAAGAAACATAACTAGGGCTTAGCAGCTCATTTTGAAATTTAATTGAACAATGTATCTGGTTGTTAATGGTGCTATGGACACATTAGATTGATATGTTGCAAAGGAAAGATGTTTAAGTAGAAAGCTAATTCCTGCTGTGTTTTTTCTTATGTTCCAGAGGAGTCATTATTAGTATTCTTTGTATAAAATTCATTAGCGGTAGCTGCTTGATCTCCAAATAAATAAGTTGGTTAAATTGTTAGTAGAAAAAGGCTAATTATGTAAATGGATTAGGTCGTCAATATTTCATTTCCAGATGCTTTTCTCCCTGCTAGGTAATGCTTCATCTTCTATAAATATAGAATGATATAGTGCACTATTGACTAAGTATTCATCTCGTTGAGTACAGTGCTCTCCTGCTAACTAGTAGAGCCGTATACAGCAATGGAGACATAAGGCATCTTAATATGTTCTTCATTGCATTTCATTTGCTTTAAGTGTTTCAGTCCTAATGTTACCCATTCTTTGCTGGTTATTTCCTTTGCAGCTGAACTACCCTGAGAGCAGCAGGGCTAGCAGCCAGTAACACTGGTGATTCTCTGGGCTCTTTCCCTTCCTGTTTGTCACAGGCTCCTCTCTCTTTGGGTCTCATATGAACTCCTGAACTTGGATTGTGTAACTAGTAACTGTGTTGATGCTTATTGCAATTAAATCACTAGCTAGGCCTTTTGCTTTGTTAATTTATTTTTAGTAAAACGTGATAATCTGAAGCTGCAAAAGTAATGCTCCTCTTATATACTGACTGTGTTCATTGCAGTTTTGCCTGGCTTGCATCACACGTTAATCTTTTATTACTGATCATTATATTAACTCTCACCTGCCAGCTGTGAAATGACCTGCAGAAAGACATGTAACAATTGTCTCTATCCACTGAGTTTACAGTATACACTTTAATCAATGCTCAGGATTAAATTAATGCTGATAGGCATTTTCCAATATCTGGCATCCATGCGATAAGGGAATTGGGCTTTTCTGGGCTTCTTTTTCTTTTTTTATTAACTGAAAAGGCCTATCTGTATTTCACGGTGGATCATGTAAACTGTAGTACTGACTCATTGCAGAATTTTGAAACCACTGAATTGTGTCAAGCACAGAATCGGTTGCTTTCTTTAGGACCTTAGTTGAGCTTTTCAAAGTAGGAAATATCATGAACACTTCAACTGGTTGTGTAGGACAATGAAACAGACTTTTTGGCAGATTCACAATGTATCCAGTAGGGAAATATTTTAAACAGTGCGTGGAAGGTGCAATTTAAAACAATCTGTGTATAGTGTTTACAGGTTCCATTTTTATGTGTATCAAATACTAAAAATGTTGGCAATTTTGGAGAAGATACTACACTAAGGAGCGTGAAAGTGATTTGTCTTGAGATTTTATACTACTGAGCATCCCTGGAGTAAGAGATGAAAAGTAAATTTGAGCTTTAGTTACTCAGAACACACACAAAAGACAAAGGAGTATATTTTCTCCCAGTTGGTATAAAGCTGGTGCAATGACAGCATAGAGGGAAAGTAAAACTATACGTTGCTGGAGGACACTTTACTCAATATTGCTTAATAGACCACATTCCCTTTCAAACCTCATTATCACTAAGAGGACCATATGCTTTTAAAGAAGGTGCACAATCCTTCTGTAATAAAGAGAAAGCAAACAGATGAGGTTTTGTTTATAAAGTATCTTATTCTATATCAATTTCTTATGGTTGATGAATGGAATTGTCAAGGTCCAGGAAACAAGAATGCACTTTGTTAACTAAGGTAATATTAACTAATGCAAATTTTGCAGGATATAATTGGACAGAGATTAATGCACTTTCAGTTAACAGCAATTTACATGCCCAAGATATCACATCACTCCAATGATATCAGTTCACAGTATATTACTTAAATAAATGAGCAATGATTTTGTACTTAATTCATTAACAAAAATATTCCCATGTAGAAGTCATAAGCAGACTAGACTATAGCATTTGATTGGATCCTGTCTCACATTTTTCATTGCAGGTGTCAAGAAGAGTGTCCTATTGGGACATACGGCTTTCAGTGCACGCAAAGATGTGACTGCCAAAATGGTGCAAAGTGTTATCATGTAAATGGAGCGTGTATGTGTGACCCTGGATTTAAAGGGATTTATTGCCAAGAAAGAATGTGTCCAGAAGGGTTTTATGGCCTCAAATGCAACAAGAGATGTCCTTGCAATATTACCAACACTCTCAGGTATGTACATCGTATTATATGCTAGTGCAGGGACTGGTCAAATAAAAGCATTGGGGAAAAAAATTAATTAACTACACCTACTCCCTTTCTCTCTGTAGTTTTAATTAAGAACACAGACAGTTCCTCTGGCTTGCAACCTTTGATTTAAATGACCTCAGGTTTGGAACCATAAACCTCAGTCCAGCCAGCTACTAAGCACGTATCTGTTAACTATTTAAACAGTTCTGCTAAAATCTGAAACAATCTGACATATGGCCTTATCCTGTAACTGCAGTCTTCCAGGCATAAGAACTATCATATGATGCCCATATGTATGTATAGTAACCCACTGAAGTTTAAAAAATATAGATATATTTACTCAAATCCATCATTTTGGCTCTTTTTATGACATGGGTTTTCTTGTTAGATCTATAGACAGCAACGGGACTCTCAAAACGAAACCTAATTTGCTTCAGTTTATGTCTCGTGGCAAATTACCTTGTTGAAAACACTTGAGGCAGATGTATAAATAGACTGAAATCAATATCCCCAAGTCAGTCTATGGAACTGTAACGAAGTTGACATTGTCAAAACAGACATCTCTTCTCATGTATGCCTATTTTTGCTCTTCATTCAGTACGTTTATGTGTGAAATATTCAGGAAAATAAATATCAGGGAAGTATACCTAAAATGGAATAAGCCATACTTAAAAGGTCAGGTTTCTGTTTTTTTTTCCCTTTTGCTTTTTTTAGAATCTGATTCTTGAGGTTCTCATTACTAAGACCTAAAGTCACAAAGAGTCTTGGGCACCTAACACGAGATAGGTTGAATTTACTTTCCTGTTGCAGGCTTGAATAAGTTTTCTGAACCCTGAAAAAAGGAAGAATTTAAGACTCTTCCCTATTATCCTATTTGTTACCTTTTGTAACTCCTTGCCTTGTTTACTGACTGCTGGAATTGCTATTTGGAGATTCCTCACTCCCTCACATGCAGTAAAGGAAGCCTGGACAGCAAAAACACCCCGGCCTGAGCTATTCTGATAGACTAGAGTGCCTGCAAGATGCTGAGCCCCTCAGCTCCCACTTGATTTCCTCCTTTTTCTGTCCGTTACTTTAAACATTCATAGCCAATGCAGGATTATGTAGTCTTCAGAGGGAGGTGGGGATAATTGATGCCCAAGCAAAAATGCCCTTGATACGGACATTCTTCAATTTTAAACCAGACAGGTAGGGACCTGACTGTCTTGCTGATGATGACAAACCTACCTTGCCATCTTGCAGCCTGCTAAAATATAAACAGTCTCCTCAATTATGTATGCAAGCAATACCACCTAATTCGTGTGCATGCACACAAACACACATACACACACACAAACACTTCAGGCAAATCTGTTTGTGTGCTTGGGATAAACTCTATTTGTCTCAGTCTTGGAAATAAACAGGTGATCTTTCTTGTGAATTCAAGTTCAACTGTGAGCAGTTATGTTTTGCTTAACTGAAAGCCAGAGCTCACAATGGATTATTTAAAAGCCTTGTAATTCTAATGATATGAGTCTTCTACAGAAAGATAGCTCTAGCTCTATTGGATTTGACAGCAAGGATCCAAAGTGTTCGACACCTCAAAGGTACAACAGGCTTCTATCACTTCTGATTATTTTGTGTATCATAAAATCATTGCAAAAAATAACATCCCTAAGGCATGAGCTGAGCATTATACACAAAAGGTTAATGTTGTGTTGTACTGAGGATAGGGGATGTCTCAAGAATTACTGCAGAGTGAGCTAAGGTATAAATTCCTGCATGTCACATTACTCTGCAGTACCTGCCAGTGTGCATGACTTAAACCTGCGGTAAATACAAGGTATTTATATACAAGGTAAACTGCTCCTCAGTGAAAGCTGTTCTTCATGTGTACTGGAGGGTGAGAATATGCTCTTGGACAGCAGCTGACACAGTGTGTCTTCACGCCCTCTCCTAGCCTGCAGAAACCTGTTTGTGTGCCCATTTTCCCAGAAAGGTGAAAATAGAGTGAAAGGACTACAGGGCACAGGCAAGGCTGAGCTTGGCTGCTGTTTCTCAGCTAACTGCTCAATTCATTAAGAGTCTTTTAAGTGGGGGAAGATAGTGGGTTTGAGGGTGCAAGAGTTCATCCTGGGTTACTCAAAGAACTACCTGGGAGATGCTCTGGGGGTTTGCCAGAAGATCCTTCCTGAAAGAACAGACTAGCACCATCGAACTGTGAAGAAAGGTGAGGTCTCAAGTTTGAGAGAGCTCAGAAAGGTGGAGGATCCACTCCTCTCACAGCTCTTTTCTGGGCATGTCGTCATTCTTACACACCGTGTACCTGACCTGTGCCTGGTTGCTGTCTGACATATATTTTATGCCTTCCCTCCCATCACTGCTCCATCAACTTCACTTGCAGCATTCTCTGCTAAGATGGTATCTCCATTTCCTTAATAAATGAGTCTTGTCTCTCCATTGATAAAATCTTCCTTTTTCCTACATCTTATCACTGCTGTTATGGAACAAAGAGATATCAGCAAGCTGTAGAGCTGTAAATGTTCTTTCATTCATCCATGGTATTTCAGCTTTCCACTTTTCAATGAGCTCCTCAGAGTGCTGTCAATTTCTGAGCTGAGGAGTGTCAGAGTTGATGGAAAATGACCTTCTCCAAAGGTTCTCCATATTCTGAACAAATCTTTTTACTGATTGTTTAACCAGTCCCATACAGCACACTTCTCTTCCCACCCACCTCCTCCCATTCCTCCCCTGAATTTTTATCATTACTGGAACTGTGGTCTTCCAAAGTGATTCATTTACTGACAGCCGTCTATTTTCCCCAGAAGCAGTTTAAACTGTCGGCTACTTGTTGCGTTACCTAAGTGTGTAGGATAATTATATAAACACTTGAAAGAAGGTGAGGGAAGCTTGCTTATTTCTGTCAGTGCTTTTGACTCATTTGATCTGGTTATTGGAGAGCTGGCTGGAACGGAAAGTTCTGGGGGCTTTGAGAAGCAGGTTGGGGAGGAACATTAAGAAATACACAATCAGCTTTTCTATTTTCATAGATCTATCTATTTTAATGTCTGGAGAGACCAGTGTGATCATCTAGTCTAACCTCCTGCATAGTAACAGCTGAAGAACATCATCCAATAATTTCTGCATCAAAGGACACTGAAAGGCACTTTGTACAGGACTTTAGAACAACCCCAGAATTAGGTAATTTAGAATGTGCTAGTGACTTGGACTGTCCTTCCACAGGGAAGGATTCACCTGTAAAAAATTTCCCCATGCAAAAAGCCCATGTTGAGACAGTCTACAACAGTCAGAAAGGCATAGTCCTGGCTTGCTCTTCTGAAAAGCAGAGAGGGAAATGAATAGCTGGAATAGTCTCAGCCACCCACCCTTCCTGAACACTGGTGTGGAGCCAGTGTGTGGAGCCATATGCCTTTAGTAATGTCTTTCCCAGGTCAGAGACATGAGAAGGGAAGGAAGGCACAGTGACCTCTTAAGCCTTGACACTTTCCTACTGTGACAAAGTCTAATGAAACAGATAGATCTCCAGAGGCTCTAATTATTGCCTTAACACTGAAAAGTTTGGAAGGACCAAACTCCATGGACCTTACATGAAGTTTTGCCTTGACCTAAATCAATAATGCGCTTCAATGAGGCTGGCTTTGAAGACTTGCTGGACTGAAGTAGTGGCCCTATAGTATCATTGCGGCTACTTCTTTAAAAGCAAGAGGGCATTTTAGTAAGGGAGACTGAATGTAGTATTGACGTTAAAAGACAGAAAATACTGTTAAAAAAGGATTAGGGCTGTTGTTAATTAAGATGAGATGACTGGTGCTAGTGTATAAACAGAAAGTTGGGAAATTCACTGGGAAGAAGTTGTTTTGGCTGAAAGATGTATGGAGAACAAATTCAGAATTTGGAACAGACTGTGCTGTCTAAAGCATTTCTTTTCCCAATTTGCCTTAAGAAAGTTGCATTACCTGGTTTCCTCAGACTTCCTCAAAATTAGGTGCTTAAAAAATGTAAAGGTCAAAAATTACTTTCTGTTTTTCAGTTCAGCTAGTAAATTTTAAAAAATGAATCTTTATTGCTGTAAATGTGGCTCAAAAGCCAGGGACTGTACAGCAGCTTCCAAACTCCAACAAGAGCCATGGAACAATTTCCTTCTCACACCATGTTGTGTGCTGGGGACAGCTTCCACTTTCCACCTCTACTTGGCCTAGTGCCAGAGAAACACTTGGCTGCTTGCATTCACTCTAGGTTTCCTACAGTATTCCCTCCTGTTATGCAAGAGACATGAAGAAATAAAAGTTGTTAAGATTCGATGCAAAATACTAATGTATAACACTGCCAGTGTCTTTCAAGAGTGTAAGGTTCCCTTCCTGCTTGCAGCAAGTGGTTGGAAAGCAGCTGTCAGTGGGTTTTGCCTTCTGGGATCCTTTCAGAGGCCTCACATCTTCTTACCCATCTGTTAAGTGATCCTTCTCCAGAGGAATTGCTTGTGCTTCTTAATTTCAGCTTATTGGTGGCATGGAGAAGTGCCTTACACATGCTGCACCCCATGCTGGCAAAATGTTACATGGACTCATGACCTTGAAATGTACATTCAGAACAGGAAGGGAGGAATGTAGGTTTGAGGTCCTTTTGCTTGTTATGCTACCATAACACTATGGTGTGTGTCAGCGTTTGGCTTGCCAAAAGCTTTGGAAAGATTTATTCTGCTACTGTCAAGGAGAAGTTTCCCTTCCCCTGCTGTACAGTCTACTCACCAACTGTTGCTACCTACCCAGAACTATTGTTACGGGTACCATAACTCTGGAATTTAATGTGGAGGATTTTTCCTCATCCTACAATGCCAGCACTCTGTAAGACAGCAAAAGATACTTATTTCAAAGCACTGAAGGACTACAAGTGCTTGGCCTAGGAGTAAAACAAAACTCTGCTATGCTCAGACCGATAATAAAGTTGTTCTTGCTTCAACAGGAAGATTATATGGATGCAGGGACCCAGACATCTGCATTGAACTTTTCCTAGCTCATAGCCTCATAAAAGAGTGGAAAAAACTTTAGGGGGGCAGAATATGGTCTCAACCTCCTACTGGACCTTGTTTTGGAGTCCAAGCCCCCTGCCTCCTGCAGACTCTTCTGCAAAGCCTGTTTGGTTCTTGCTTCTTATTTTAGTGCATGTTAGGATGATTTTTAGTCCTTTATATATAGCTTGCATCTCATGCAAAAAAGCTGTCCATTTTGAAGGAGCCAACCTTGGAGTAGAAATTCTTACTGAGTATAGTGTTTTCAATTGAATTGTCATAGGCTGATTCAAACTGCCATGATCATATATTATGTTTGAAAGATTTAATTTAGCCAACAGATGCAGTTCTCATGGAACCGTATGATATGTGCAGTAGTAGTGAAAATAGAGAAACAAAAAATCCACTTTAAAATATTTCTTTAATGTTTAGCTTTCTGCTCCTATTACATAATGATTAATAGACACAGAGGGGGAAAAAACCAAGCTTTTATTATTTTCATCTGAATGTTAAGAGGTGCTTTGTGAACAACCATAATTTCAGGGACTGCTTTGACAGAAGAGTTTCATGGATGGTAGTTTGTTAAGCTGATGAAATGTTTTAATTAGTAAAACACTATCTATGATGAAACATATGACACTCACAAAATTTGATCATTCTTAGTCACAACAGTATGTGACTAACCTCTCCTACCAGTAATTGCCAGAAACATACTTGGAAATTACATTTTATGAGGTTACCTTGAAAATTAACATATATGATATTAATTTTATAGATGTAAAGAAACCCATCATGTCTGCAATATTGAACTATAGCAATAAATAATCGTAAAGGAAAATAAATAGTTTCTATGAGGCAAAAAAATAGGAGACAGGTCCATAGAGAGGTGCCACCTTGCAGAAGTCTATTTTTTCTTGTTCTGAGAATAATAGAGAAAATCTGATTTGTAGCAATATTATTTCTCATCTTTTTCACTGAGGGCTAGACAGTGCTATTATAGTACAATCTTGTGGTGCAGAGGCCCTCAGCACATACTGAGCTCTCAACTGAAGCCTTACACTCCCAGCTGGCCTCAGACAACATGGGGTCCTTTTCCAAAGATCAGATTCCCTCTCCATCCCCTGCTCTCTCTTTTGACCACCTCATCTCCCCAGACTAGACATCCCCCTGTGCTCTCCCTTCCCATCCCCCAGAAACCTCTGTCTCTTCAATCCAGGACTTAACACATCTCCAGCCTTCCCCTCCTTTCCCAGCCCCCAGCCACAGCCTCAGCGTGGCTCTCCTGCTGTGGGAAGTTAGTGCCCTAAGGAAACCAGGGAGATGCTCTTTCTGTAAAAGAGGAAATTGTGAATAAAGATAAACTGTTTCATAGCAGGAGGAACAAAGGGGTAAGTCTTCCACCTACCAGATGCAGAAGGACCAGGCATTGTCCGGTCTTTTGGGCTTGATTCTCCTTTCTACTTTTCTCTCTGTGTGCTCTCACAACAGTGTGGAATTGTCTGAATAGAAATGAAAGCCAGAGGATTAATGTTGGGCAGCAATGCTCATTATTCGGCATAAAGGTACTTGACTCATTTCCCTGCACAGCTGAGATTTAGTCCAAGGGCTCCTGTTAACTCCTGCCCCAAATAAATCCCAAGGCTTCAGGGAGTCATCAGTTCTGTTCACTATGGCTGAATATTCCCTGCAAATTTCTTTTTCCAAGGAGATTTTTCCCTTCCAAAGCACTTTGCCTTCCACCTCTCCCCGCTGAAAAGTTCTGCTTAGGTGGCATTCACTTTTAAAATGCAAATGAGGAGAGGAGAGGAGAGGAGGGGAGAGGAGAGGAGAGGAGGGGAGAGGAGAGGAGAGGAGGGGAGAGGAGAGGAGAGGAGGGGAGAGGAGAGGAGAGGAGGGGAGAGGAGAGGAGAGGAGGGGAGAGGAGAGGAGAGGAGGGGAGAGGAGAGGAGAGGAGGGGAGAGGAGAGGAGAGGAGGGGAGAGGAGAGGAGAGGAGGGGAGAGGAGAGGAGAGGAGGGGAGAGGAGAGGAGAGGAGGGGAGAGGAGAGGAGAGGAGGGGAGAGGAGAGGAGAGGAGGGGAGAGGAGAGGAGAGGAGGGGAGAGGAGAGGAGAGGAGGGGAGAGGAGAGGAGAGGAGGGGAGAGGAGAGGAGAGGAGGGGAGAGGAGAGGAGAGGAGGGGAGAGGAGAGGAGAGGAGGGGAGAGGAGAGGAGAGGAGGGGAGAGGAGAGGAGAGGAGGGGAGAGGAGAGGAGAGGAGGGGAGAGGAGAGGAGAGGAGGGGAGAGGAGAGGAGAGGAGGGGAGAGGAGAGGAGAGGATATTTGTGGAGGATATTTGTGGCAGGTTTATCTTCACAAATCTCTTGACTGCATTCCTCCATCCATTGGAACTTCTCCTCCATCTATTGGAATTTCTCCTACCTGAACATCTTTGACTGTATTACAGCCAAATAGTATGGGACATATATGTCATACAACAGTATGGATTAATTGTGCTGTGGTTAATGTCAGTAATCCAAGTCACATTGATTTGAGAATGGAAAAGCATAAACTTCAAAGGTGTAAAATTACCAATGCTGTGGCAGTTCCCGGATGTTTGGAAGTGGCGTGCCAGGCTGGTATTTAGCACCATATTCCCTATTCACTTCCTAAGTTATGTGGCTGCTTATGTTCACCATCCTTAACAGTTTTCAGGTTTGTGTGACTCTTGCTGGCATTGCATGTAAAACATTCTACTGCTGTTTACAGACTATTTTTCTTTCATGTCTACATCTCATTAATGTCTGTCTGTCTTCATTAGTTGCCATCCATTGTCTGGAGAATGTAGCTGCAAAGTTGGCTGGGCTGGACTCTACTGCAATGAAACCTGTCCCCCTGGATACTATGGCGAAGGCTGCCAGCTGACCTGCCCTTGCCAGAACGGTGCAGATTGTGACAGCATCACTGGGAAGTGTACGTGTGCGCCGGGATATATGGTAAGTGAGAGCTGTGAATAATGGGGCATTTCATAAGGTACCTGCAAAAAATTAAAGAGGATTTTAATCTGTTTTCAAATAATATTTGCATAAAAGTGGCCAAATGCAGGTAATTTTTCCCCATTCTATTATAAGTCCACATAATTCTCCTTTGAGCAGTGTCAGCTTATTATTTCTGGTTATTTACTTAACATCAGTATTGTAAGTTTATTACTGTTATAAGGATAAAGACACGGTTTCCCATCGTATATTCTAAGTCAAGACATAACAAAAAAGATGTCAGATTATTGTCTGCCTGGAAGAGCAGAAAAAGAATTCTCATGGCCTTTCAGCATGTTCCTTGTCAGTCACACTGTGATTTTAATAGATGAAGATCTTTTAAAATGTTACAAATGATAGAGCAATTTATGTCTTTTCTGAGCATATATGGCAGGTGTCTTTTACCTGAGCATCAGAAAGAGCTTCAGACATTCTGAGGTAAACAAGCATTACATTTTATAGACGAAATATAAAATGGCTGAAGAAGTCAGCCAAGATGAAACAACAAAAGTTCAGAATTAACGATTGCCAAGTTGCAGCAGAAAGTATTAGGACATGGATCCATGTGTCCAGTCCTGCTACAGCTGGGCATAATGGAACTCTTGCTAGTAAGTTCCCTGGTCATCCATATATGAAGCACCTCTTTACTTCAGGAGCACACCATGGATGAGATCTGCAGGCTACGTTTAAGAAATAATACTTCCTAAAGAAAAAAAAAATATTTTCAAGAGAGAATTCCACTACAACTTCATTAGCAGTTGTCTTTCTGTAATTTATGTCCTTAATTTTACATGATCTGTCCCTACAGGCCTATCTATGTTTTCTATACTATTATAGTAATTATTACTTATAATTACTAAGTTTACTAGAAATCAAGCTTCAGATTCAAAGACGTTCCCAATATTTTTAGAGCTTCCACTGACATTTAGGAGCCAACTAATATGTGCAGCCTCCTAGATGAGTTTTACCCTGTATTGTTTTAAGTTACAGCTTCAAAATGAGATGAATAAATATCTTCAAATACTAGGGAACATGAGATGTGATCTTTGGCCATGTTGTAGCTCTTTTGATTTGCATTTATGAAACATGGTGGACATCGTATCAGGTAGCTTTAGAAACAATGGGAGGGGAATGGAATGTTGGATCTGGACAGCAGAGCAGCCATGTCCTACCATCAGTGCCCACTGCAGTGTTTAGGGTTTTCTTGAAAAAATGTTGCAGTATTCTGCAGGGGCATATGCTGCTGTCATCTACAGGGGAAGGCTGCACAGCTGTGTGACAAGATCCATAGTGTGGGAGTCCTATATGAGATTAGTGGGATGCTAAAGCCTTTTTAGCCTCCCCCACTTTTAAATCCACACCTGAGCTTGTGATTGCCAAATGTCATCTCCAGAACTGTGGCACTGGAGTTATGGCTTAAAGACACTTTTGTTCTCTGCTTCATGTCAACAGCTGAACCTGAAAGTTGGAGCTTCCATCTAATTTCCAGGGGTTCTCTCAATGCCCGGTATAAACAGATTTATTTAGGTGTGAGGGGTAGGACTGTCAAAAGCATCTATGCAAGACACTAGTACGTAGAGATGTAAAAAAAAGAAGAAAAGAGCTTTGAGCTTTGATTCCCCACTCACTTACACTAACAGGAAACAAGAATTTATCTTCTCTATACAGTGGTGATACACAAGTATTAATATAAAGTGGAGGAAAGTATGAAGGCAACAGCATGTTAGTAACAAATGCAAAATAAAAAGATACCAAGACCCTCTTTCTTATCAGGAATGCTGTTCAAGTTTCCAGCACAAAAATATTTTGGGACCCTTTACTGTACACATTTAAAAAAAAACATAGTTTGTCCAATATATATTACTCCAAGACAGTACTATTGCAGGCATGAAGCCTGGGAAGTTCCTATTGCATTGCTTCAAAATAATATTTAATCTCATAATAAAGAGCTTTCTTACATTGAAAAACATAGTGTCCAATATATATTACTCCAAGACAGTACTATTGCAGGCATGAAGCCTGGGAAGTTCCTATTGCATTGCTTCAAAATAATATTTAATCTCATAATAAAGAGCTTTCTTACATTGACATTTAAACAGCTTGGTTATTGAGGATAGCTCTATAATCACTGAAGCATATTTAGGCATTAGTATCATTGCTCTCTCATAATATACTATAATCTCTGGCAATTAGTCCATGAGGGGAAATAAAGCCTTGAAATTGCTAATTTATTACCTCTGAAGCATATTTGTCATTCGTATGCATGCCAGATGACTCGAGTTGCAGTGGTTCTTTCAAATGCTAGAGAACACAGGCTGTAAAGAAAACTTGACAGGAACCTTTACTTCCTACCCTGGAACGGCGGTGTCCTGCCGAGCTGCTCTTGCTGTACGCTCCATCGTCTAGGCAGGGAGAAGGTGTCAGCACCGCTTCACGACGCAGCCTGCAGGTCATGTGAAAGACACTGTGGGGCCAGAACCCTCTCAAGGCTTGAAGTGGCTTATCTCAGTGACACGCTCAAGACCAGACTTTGCCTTCAAATATGCATGCCTACCTCTTGCTGAGGCAATGGGGAGCTTTGCCTGCGGGTAGAATTTTGCCCTTGAATTCAGCTAGCCTGCAAGCGAGTGGCGCGACTGTTCATGAATGCAGGATGTCTCTTTTGGCAGCACTGACAATAGGGTGATGCGAATACAGAACTGGGCAGAGCTAATTATTCAGAAAAGCCATAAATGAATCCCTCTTGCTTTTTCTAGCATGAGGCTTGGCTGATGCAGCTACAGTGTCAGGAATTTTGCCATATGATTGGAAAGAACGAAAGTAGGATCAACATCTTACATTTTACAGAAACATTTGATCTACACATGATTTTATATAGCAGAGCAGACTGAAGGGTTTCTAAGTAAGGGGGGAAGGAAGAGGTTATGATAGGACATGGGATATAACTGCAAAATCTAACTGCAAAGGCAGAGAGGTTGGACCCATAGGACTTTTGTGTTACTGGATGCCTAGAAAATATAGTGACCAAGAAATGACAGTCTTTTCCTGACAAAGCACTCCTCCAGCCCACTTCTTTTGCACAGATGGCTTGTTTTTTAACTGTGCCCTGCCTCAGCTGTGTCAGGGCAGCTGGGCAGGGTTTCAGAATGATTCATCTGCAATCGCAGCCAAAACAGGGACATTTTGTTGGGATGCAGAACAAGCCATTAAAAACACAAAGCATCTGGTCACCTTTATTAAATGTATTAAGTAGGAAGGCAGCCATCCCATAGGTTGACATGTACATGAGCAGAGCACTTAATTTTTGGAAGTTAAGCAGATTCAAGTTTTAAAATAAAAATGTACATTGTAGCTCAGAAAATAATACATTATTTATTAGCTGTGACATTTCCAAAAAATCAAATGCCAAAGATAAATATTGGTGAGCTTGCAGTTTTGGATAGAATTTCAAAACATTTTATGTCTTCTTTTTTTGATGAATATTTTGGGTCAGACTCAACAACCAGATTTGCACATACCTAGCTCTGAAAACAAATTACACTGTTGTAAAGATGTTATTGGGTACCAGTACAGGTTATTTGTGTGAGGTTCTGATATGACTGTGCTCACACTAGGGGATTGCACTATTTTAACTGTGTTGGTGTCTAAACCACAGTGCAGACACTGTGTCTAGGTTTGACTGAAGAGGTAGCTGAGAAATCCAAGTGATCCACAATCATACCCAAAACAGCCCAGTTCTTGGAGGCAGCCTACAGGACAATAAAAGTGGGATAATAGGAGCAGATGAGACACAACAAAATCTTCTTCCCCAAAGTCACAGAGCATGTCTAGAGCTACTCCTTATATGCTCCAGCAGTAGAGTCCACACTGCAGGCCTGTTGGAAACCCTGTGCTTATTACATCTCATATGTGAAGGGAGGATAAGGGTTGTATAATTTATTTAAGATGATTGTAGGGAATCATGATGATAAACATGCCAATAGGGCACGGCCCTGAAACTGTTATTTTTAACATGTTTGAGGATTGCCTCTCAGTACTCATATGATGAATTGCCAGTGATGCTTTTCTGAAGAATGGTTTTGAAAAACCATTCTGCTGCCATCTCATTTGTGGCAAGAAGGAATCTGATAAACACACAGGGAGTACACAAAGATTAGCCTTAAAAAGTATAGAGGGAGATTCTTGAGTGGTAGAAATTGGATCCTTACTCCCACATGCAAATAGTTGCTCCTTGCAATAAATTACTTGGATGCAATTATGGGGGTGGTGAGAGGGGTTATACTGACTTGTACCTTCCCCTCCTTTCAAATTCTGCTTTAAGATGCTCTCTTACAAGCCCACTGAAGTCAGTTGCGCAGTAAGGACATAAAAGAAATCAGGATTTGCCCTGTCCTCTCTTCTTTTGTTTTTGGTTCATTGAATTTTATTCCTGTAATTCAATAAATGTGGTGGAGAAGACCAGAGGATATGAATTAAATATGACAGGAGACCACAGGAATCCTGACCTTCTGTCTCACAAGAAAATCTTGAAACCAACCCCCTGCACGTACCTATCAGCGTTCTAGATACTGAAATCATTATAAATGCTGTTGAAATACAACTGAGTTCACCTTCTCCATTGCACAGCTAATTGCAACTTTCTTGAAAACAGTAGCTATCTAGAGACCTCATCCTGTCATATGCCTTTGTTTCTTTATGGATGTTTTGTTTTCTTCCTTTGAAAAATGGATTTAACTTCAAATGCTTTCATTCTGTCTATCGTGGCAAGGAGATATGTAGTTAAAACATTTCTCAGCCCAAGACACTCTGAGAAAACTTTAACACTAATCTATGGAATGTGTGGTCAGCTTTTACTTCGGTGGGCACTTAGGTCTATATTTCACATCTAGATGACAGAACTTGTATTACTTTAAAGACTTCATCTATTTATGCTGCAATTTTTTGAAGACATGTCTGCTTTT